TACAGTTAATATTTTCGTAGGTTTTTTTTCAGAATTGTTTAAGTGCATGTATTTTTTCTTAAATGATTTGCTTTTTTCCATTTATTATATCCTGGATATCTCGGTAAATGTATATCTAAATAAGCAATTTTTGGTGATTGAATAGTATTCCATTAAATATAAGCTATACTATATTTTAGCTAATTTCCTATTGATAAATATTTACTATTACTATGTAATGTCACTGTGATGACAATCTTGTACATAATCTTTGTGCACTTATTTTTTAGGATAAAATCCTAGAAATCAAATTGCTTTCAATCAGTGGGTAAAAGTGCCTATCCATTTTCGCCTGGGTAAATGTCAAATGTTCCTCATTGATTAGAAGCACCTTCTATATGATATAGTAATGTGTGTGTGTGTATATATATATATATATATGTTTGTGTCTGTTTCTAGATATTTTGTACTATTGTATTAATCTGTTTATTTTGGCACCAGTATCATACTTAGTAAATTACATTAGCTTTAAAATATCTTTAACTCTCTGGAAGGACAATCTCTTTTTCATAATTTTCCTGATTCTTTTCAGTTTTTGTTTGTTTGTTCTAGATAAATTTGAGAATGATTTTGTCAAATTCCAAAAAAAAAATTAGTGGGGTTTTAATTAAGATTATACTAAATTCATGTGGTAATTTGGGAAGGGCTGATGTATTTACAACTCTGGCTTCACATTCAAGAACACAGCATATCTTTCTATTTATTTGTATCTTCTTTTGTGTTCCTCAGTACAGGTTTTTTCATATAGCTCTCAGATATTTCTTTTTAAGTTTATTTGTGTTTTCTTTATTTTGTTTTTGCTGTTATGAATGGGATTTTTTCCATGCTTTTTTCTATTTATTGTTGGTAACTAGAAAAGATACTTAGTTTTTGGTATTTATTTGTTACTAGCCTCTTTACTGAACTCTTTTTTATTTCTAACAGTTTCTCGATAGATTTTCTTTGATTTATTAGGTATATAATAATGGCGTTTGCCTAAACAAACAAAAGAGAAAATTGTGTGTTAGCTTTTTTGGTAATTACATCTCTTATTCTTTTTTCTTACCACATTGCATTAACAAGAACTTCCAGAACAAACTTAAATAGCAGTGGTCTTATCAGGCATCCTGATAACTCTCAATGAAAAGGTGAGAGATGAGCAAAGTCTTGACTGAGGTGAAAGAACAAACCAGGAAGAATCTGGGGAAAGAGATTTCCAGGCAGAGAACAGCCAGTGCAAAGGCCTTGAGGAGTAACAAGGCATAAGAAGGAGGCCAGTGTGCGTGGAGAGGAGTGATTGAGGAGGAGACCAGTAGCAGATAAGGTCAGAGAGGGAATAAGGAGTGCAGATCCTGTAAAGCCTTAAGGCTATTGTAAGGACTAATATTTCCTAATATTGAACCTTCCTTGCTTACTGTATTAGGATTACAGTGTCATAGTGAGTTATTCTTTAAGCATTGCACCTGTGGTTAAGAAATGTATTTATTAAAAATAGATCTACTTTTTAAAAAAATATTAATATCTGTTATTGATACATATTCACTGATGTACTCTAATGTTTAAAATGTCTTTTATCATAGTCGTAATAAACACATCCTTTCCCCATAATCTTATGAATGTGAAATCTACATAACTCTCTTTATGTTTTCTTGTGTAAAGATGCCTATTATTACTATTGGAAAGAGTATTTAATCAGGAATATATCAGTTTCTAGAGGCTGAGATTATTTTGAACAACAGCAACCATAACAAAGAGTAGCTTTGCTTACTTGGACCCAAACGTTAATTTAAAATCCTCAATCATTTTCAATTTTCAAGTTTTTCTGGTAGAAAAATACCTAAAGGCACCCAGGCAGCAAGAATAGTGGAGTCACAAATCATGGCTATGCTGAAACTGACCTAGTTGAGCAGATAAGTCAGCTCATTGGGAAAACTATAAGCTCCTTTGAAAAATCAAATATCCCAAGAGGAATAAAATAAGTAAAGGGAAAAAAAAAACTTTATTGCTAAGAGAAGCAGAATTACTAGAGTGTTGGCACTGCTATAAATTAAAATTTTCCAAAACAACAATATTTTCTGACAAAGCTTGGCTATTTGATTCTAGAATGTAACTTTAAGGCTGCATGCAAATATTTTTCTCTTCATTTGTAGTCGGAGGAAAGAGAGAGATTAGAAAGAGAAATTTGTTGTTACTACTGCTAGGAGACTTCCACCCTTTTCTTATTTGTAGCCCCATAGGATCCCTGGGTAACTCAGGAGATAGAGGCAGTAGTGTCAAAAATATTTGTCACAATTTTATCTCTCTTCTGGTATCTCCCAATTCTGATCCCCACTCGTGACTTTTGCAACAAAGGGGGCTAAGAGAAGTTTCTGATGATAATTTATTCTGTCAAATGACCTCATCCTGTGATCCTATCAATATGTTCTGCGTTATATTTGGAATATTTACCTAAATTTTACACATCAGTAGGTCTGGTTTTCAAACACAAGAATGTGAAAAATAATTTAAGAAATTAGTTGTGATAACAGAAAGAACAAAAGGAACAATGAGAAATACATTCAGCAAATAGGTGGCCACGAGAAGCTATTTTAGTTCCTAAGAGTTAATAATTTATACTTGGTAGAGAGGAACTGGGCAGATCCAAAAGTTTTTGTCCCTTTAGTTCCATTAAAATATGAAGGCTCTCTATTAGTAATATTAGACCCCGTGTAGTTTCTGCAGCCCTAACTTACTGCTGTCCTCAACACGTGAAGCAACATATTGTAGGCATTTGTTCTTTCTTGACCTTCCTGACTTGAGCTTTCCCAAATTCCTGCCTCTTTCTCTATTATGCCAATTTCCCCTACTTGCCAATTCCTTTTTGTATGAAATGTTTTTTTCACAGATCCTAAGTAAATTTAAAAATTGTTACTGTAATTTTTCTGTAGTTATTGACCCTTTGGGATTTTTTAGATTGATTAAAAGAGGAAAGTGTGGAAGAAAAAATAAAGGCAAGAGTGTAAGATAGGAAGTGGGACTGAAGAGGAGAAGTAGATTAATAATAAAAGCGAAGCAAAAAAGATGTCAAAGTGGATAATTCACATAAGATTATAGGAGAAGAGGAAAATTATAGATCTTTGAACAACTATCTCCTTTTCAGTTTTGGGTATATAGGTTTCATTTTTCAGGTTATGGTAAAATAGTTGAGTTCAATGCTGGTATATCTAATAGCTTCCTTTAACATTGTTATTTCCCAGTTTAAGAAAGAAGAGCTCAGTGGTAATTTTAGGTCTTGGTTAGTGATAGCTGGAACAGAACACCTTAATTTCTGAGTCCTTAACGTAAGACTTTTCTGAACTTGAATAATAAATTTGCATAAGTCTCATTTAAAAATTCCTCAGTTTGATAAGTAATGATTTCTCCATTTTTGGGTATCAACATAGGTCTTTTTCAACAGATCACTGGCAGAAACAGAATCAGAATTGAGGAATTTTGATTCTGAAATGCATAATACATGAAATACCTTATTGGGTTAAACCAAAATTTATCCAGCCCAGTATTTGATCTCATAGCATGTTTGCAGCTGTTCATGGTTACTGTCCATAACAGCAACTCTGAGAGTTAGGCATAGACTGCAAGCAGCCTTCTCTCAGTTAGCTCTGATGGACCCCATATTCGATAATTTTTCTGTTTCTTAAACTTATATACTTTCAGTTTATATTATTATCAGAGACTGAAGTCTCCTTTTAGTTTAAGAAGTATCTCTTTATTATTTTGAAATAGTTTTAATATTTCCATGTTAACATCATGATTTAGAAGAAAGGAAGTCAGAAGACTTGGATTTTAGTCCTGGGTTTGCCCCCTAATTAGTTATATAACCTTTGTTAGGGTATTTAACTTCTCTGGAACTCATTTTATTCTCACTTATATGACAAATACTAAATAGCTCTCAAGTATTTTCTTATTCTAAATAAATGTGATAGAATTCTTGATCATACTCTTTTTTTGCCACTGTTATCAATTTCTGTATGACTTTATAGATCTGGCCATATGTTTTCTAATTTCTGTCTTCTCAGGCAGTAAAATACTAACTGCCTTGTTCTCCCTTCTCCCAATTTTAAAAGTGCTTTCTGATTTCCTTTGTTCATGTAAATTGCACCTTTCTACTATTCCTCTGTTGATGTCTTTCTTAAGTTAGAGTTGATGAGAATAGCACTAAGTACCGAAGATGTGGGCGGATGTGCTATGATATTATATAAATGTAAGATCATATTTTCTGTTTCATTGTGGCTACTTTTTTTTAATGCCAATATTTCTAGAACATTTTAGCCCTATTATTTCAAAATGTCTTTTAGGCCAACTCTTTGCCTCTGGACTAGACTATTCCTAAGCTTTTTACTATTCAGTATCATCTGAGACAGATTTCACAACCTGTCTCTCACCTTGAGGAAGTTCTTATAGCTAACATAAATCTTGCTTTCTGCAATTTAAGTTGAATTTAGTTCCTTTTTCTTTTCTCTGTGGAGATGGGAACAGCCCCAAACTAGAAGTGATGCTTTCTTATGAGGGCCATACTGAATATAGTGGAAAGATTATTTCCAGTCTGGCATCATTTTTAGCTTTTATATATCAAAGCTTCCTGACTTTCATTTCAATATTCATGGTCTTAGGAGATGCTATTCTTTATGACCCAAATGAAATAACAGTTACATATCTAATGTTAATGTTTATTATATTTTTTGCTAGTCAGAACCAAATGAGGTACTAAAATAAAAAATGAGTTCTGAAAACCCATTTGTGGACTTTAGCAGATTTGTGTTATATTTACTATAACTACGGTCATGGAACTGTAGTTATAAAATGAGATTTTACTGTGAATTTTATTTTGCATTTTAAAAATTAATACAGAAAACCTTTTATACTATATATATCTGCTGTATTAACTAAGTCATCCTAAAATGTCTAATTTGTTTCATTCTGATATTTGTTTTTTCACTTTAAAGGTTCAGGAGTTTTCTGAAAAATCCTTCTTCTTACAGCTTTTGAAAACTCATGAAAATGCCTTAGAAAGACAGTGCAGTGAAATTACAAACCAAAGGATTATGCTTCTCCAAACATTTGTAAGTCTCCAGTCACTTAGAAAAATCTATTTCAGTAACTGTTTCAAAAAGTATTTAAATATACTTAGGTGTACTTTCAGAAAATTATCCATATGCATATTGGCAGATAGTCCTGTTCAGCTATGGAAAAGTATTAAGTGCTATTTAAAACCAGTTGGTAGGGTAATATAGTTTGAAAGAATTCTATTGGCAGGGATGCAATATAGAAATTATTTGCGATGGTAATAAGCATAAAAGAAACAGTGAAACTGATTTGAATTGCTCAGGCTTCGAGACCTTGGTTTTAATGCTTTTGAAAGGCAGAGAGGTTCATACTTAGGCATATTTATGGATGTGGATGAAAAGATAGATTTTGTTTATCTTTTTATCATAAGTCAGAGCCAACAGGCTCAGTAGTTTTAAATAATAGGGCAGCTTAGCAATATGACTTGTAGTTAATTGACATGTCAAAGAAAATATATTTTAAAATATTAAAAATATATATATCTAAAATTAGAATCAACAGAATCAACCACCAGTGGTTATAAATGACATGGCCAGTTTATGAATGTTGCTCATAATTAGTTGACATTCCTTAGAAAAATACAGTAATGTTTAGGTTCTAGCATTGTCAAAAAGTTTAGTTTCTAGCATTGTCCACAGTTTTTGGAAATTCTTATTTCTACTCTATGTTGATATTTTGTAAAATGTAAACTGTTATTTAGAACTGAATTTGAAATGAATATATAATTTTAACTTAATTGTCTGCATTTTAAAAGGTTTCTTTGGCTTTCCTTGTTTGTTTGTTTTTTTCTATAAAGCAGTAATTCCTTTGAGTGCAGATTTTCATTTTCAAGTTTGGTCATTTAATTATTTTATCACTCAGTTTTATATTGCAATGACAAAATTGGCATATATGGTTGTAAGTTTAATACACAAACACATATATAATGATGAGTGGTAGAATTTCTACATCAATAGTTCTCCTAAAACATTAAGGATAAATGTTTCATGTAAAAATAGTTGGTTGTTATTACCTAGTAGCTTCAGTTTTTTATTAATATTGCTGGAGGAGTAAAGCATTTTTGTGATAATACCAGGAAGTATAATTTTACATTTTTGTTGTTAATAATTCCAAATGATTGCATTTTAAATGACTAAAGAAAAATATTATTGCAATTAACACCTATATTTGATCTTTTATTTCTGTTTTTCAGGAGGCTACAAAGAAAAAAATAACAGAGGAGAAGGAAAAATTTATTAGGGAAGTTACAGACTTCAATAATGAGTATGAAATAACAAAGAAAAGAGAGCTTTTGATGAAAGAAAATGTCAAGATTGAAATATCTGACTTAGAAAACCAGGCAGACATTTTAAAAAGGGGTATGAATACACAGTACCATCTCATTTAGCTGGCATTAATGAAAATAACTTATTTTGAGTCAGTGGATTTTCAAGAAATTTAACTCTTTAATAAGCAAATTGGGTTATTGCATAGCTATTCTTTTACTTTTTATCTTAATTGTCCTAATAGTTATGTATCGTTTATTGTGAGCAGTCTCAAATTCTTTAGAAGTAGGTGTGACATGAGCATTTGGTCATTCATTCAATAAACAAATATCTATTTACTATCTGTTGTATGATAAGTACTGTTCTAGGTCTGGGGGATATAAAACTAAAAAGTGGAGAAGTCATATATGTAAGCAGATATTTATAGTACAATGTGATAGAAGCTATAGTACGGATAAGACTGGTGCTATAATCCTCATTTTACCGTCAGTCCAGTTTAAACCAGGAAACAAGGTTACACAGTGGGTTGGGGAGAATTTCATTTGAAGAACACTAGTATGCCGGTATTGCAATCTGTGATAAGATTCTGAACTAAAGAAGTTGCCAAAGAGAGGAGAGAGCGAATTAAAGAGATGATAAGAAAGAATGACAGGACTTTGTCACTGATTAGCGTAAATAGAAATAGAGAAAGTCAAGGACGTGTCAGTTTTCAAACTTAAGAGATTGTGTAGAATTTGGTACCAGGAGGAAGAGCAGAGGTGGAGAAGCCTGTCTGCACTACAGTCTTTTTCCGGGCAACAATGTCTATGGCATAAACAGGTGGAGATGTCCAGGTGGCGGCTGGAAATTTGGTTGTGAAGCTGATAAGAGAGATCAGAGCTAGAGTATTAGGTTCGGACTGAGTCCAGAGGAGTTGGTGACATCATTCAGAGGGAAAATGTAGAGGGAACATAGAGGAGGACCAAGGGCCAAAGACAGAAACTGGGATAGCATAGTAATTAAGGAAAGGAAGAGAAGGAGGGCAAAAGGAGAACCAGCAGAGAGTAATATTTTGGAAACCAAAAGCAAGAGTAGTTTTGCTCAAATGATGAGGAGTCAAAATAGGACATTAATTTGACCATCAGAACATGTCAAGAGCAGTATCGTAGAGTTGAGTGGTAGAAGAAGACTGGTTGTAATAGATGGAGGAGTCAACGAGAGTTGAGGACATGGAGAATGAAAATATAAATGATATTAAATGGAAAATGAGTTTTTAATGGAAGCTTTTCTAAAATGTACTGTTCCTTTGATGCCTTTAATAAGTGGAGGATAATAAACACATTTAACTTTTTTATTGACTTGAAACTATCATTATGAATAATTTATTGTCATGCTTTGACTATGACAATTGTTATTATTATTGTAGGTAATATTTATTAGGCTTATACTGTATAAAAACTACCATCCTGAAGATTATAAATGCCAAAGTCATGTTGACTGAATTTAAATCTTAGTTTTACCACTTAATAGCTGTGTGATTTGAGGTAAGATGCTTAACTTTTCTTTGCCTCGGTTTCCTCATCTGCAAAGATGAGGGATAATAATAATGACCTTAATAAGGTTGTTGTGAGGGTTCAATGAAAGAATAATTGGCACATAATTAAGTCTTCAAAAATGTGAGGATTATACTTTTTTAATAGGTCTTATTTTATAAATGAAGGAAATGAAGTTCTCAGAGATAAATTACTTTGGGTAGAGAGTGTAGGACAGAGGTTCTTAACCATAGATGCACATCTTGGAAGCTTTAAAAAAAGATTAAATGCTTGAGTCTCATCCTAGACCTATTGAATCAGAGTTTCTGTCGGTGAGGATAGGGAACATATTTTTTTTAAAGCCCCTTAGGTGATATTGATATGCACAGCTATTTAATAACCATAAGTGTAAAATACAAAGTTAAATAGGTATTAACTTTAGGAGATACTCTGAAACTAACTTTCCTTAAAAAGTCATAGTTATCATCACTTCTATTCAACATAGTGTTGGAAATTCTAGCCAAATCAATTTGGCAAGAAAAAGAAATAAAAGACATCTGAATTGAAAAGAAAGAAGTAAAATTATCTCTGTTGCCAGATGACATATTCTTGTATATAGAACCCCTAAAGATTCCACAAAAAAACTGCAGAGCTAATAAATAAATACAGTAAAGTTGCAGTATACAAAATCAATACACAAAAATCAGTTGCATTTCTGTGTACTAGCAATGAGCAATCCAAAAAGGAAATTTATAAGTTCTGTTTATAACAGCATTAAAAGAATAAAATACTTAGGAATAAATTTAACCAAGAAGGTGAAAGACTTGTACACTGAAAACTATAAAACATTGCTCAAAGAAATTAGAGAAGACCTAAATAAATGGAAAGACATCCCATGTTCATGGATTTATAAACTTAATATTATTAAGATGACATTATTACCCAAAATGATATACAGATTCAGTGCAATCCCTATCAAAATCCTAACAGCATTTTTTTCATGAATAGAAAAACCCATCCTAAAATTCAAATGGGATCCCTTGGGATTCCCAAATAACCAAAACAATCTTGAAAAGGAAGAACAAAATTGGAGGACTCACACTTTCTGATGTCAAAACTTAAATGCCGCAGATTTAAAATGCTACAGTAATCAAAACAGTGTGGTACTGGGATAAGAGCAGACATATAGAACAATGGAATAGAATAGAGAGCCCAAATGTAAACCCTTGTGTATATGGTCAAACGATTTTTGATAAGGGTGCTAAGAGTATTCAATGGGAAAGGACAATATTTTCACCAAATAGTGCTTGGAAAACTAGATACCACATGCAAAAGAATGAAGTTGGGCCCTTACTTTACACCATATACACAAATTAACAAAATGGATCAAAGTCTTTTAATTTTTATTTTTTATTTTTTTCCCCAAAGCCCCAGTAGATAGTTGTATGTCATAGTTGCACATCCTTCTAGTTGCTGTATGTGGGACTCGGCCTCAGCATGGCCGGAGAAGCGGCACGTCGGTGCGCACCCAGGATCCGAACCTGGGCTGCCAGTAGTGGAGCGCGCGCACTTAACCGCTAAGCCACGGGGCCGGCCCAAAATGGATCAAAGTCTTAAACTTTAGAACTAAAACTATAAAGCTCTTAGAAAAAAACATATGGGAAACACTTCATGACATTGGATTTGGTAAGGATTTTTTGGATACCAAAACCACAGGCAACAAAAGAAAAAATAGATAAATTATATTTCATCAAAATTAAAATCTTTTGTGCATCTAAGTATGCTATCAAGAGAGTAAAAAAACAACCCACAGAATGGGAGAAAATATTTGCAAATCATGTATTTGATAAGGGATTAATATCAAGAATATATAAAGAAGTCATACAACTCAGCACTTAAAAAAATAAACAACCCAATTAAAAAATGGGCAAAGGACTTGAACAAGACATTTCTCCAAAGAAATGGCCAATAAACACATGAAAAGATGCTCAATATCACTAGTCATTAGGGAAATGGAAATCCAAACCACAATGAAATACCACTTCACACTCATTAGGATGGCTATTATCAAAAGAAATTCAAAATCTCTACAACATGATATTCATAATGTTCAGGATGCAATCCATAATTACTCGACCTATGAAGAATCAGTGAAATATGTGGCCTAGTGTCAAAAGAAAATAGTGAGATGCCAAACCCACGGTGATCTAGATATTGGGATTATCAGATGAATATATATATTCATCTATATAATGCTATATAGCAGCTATTATAAACGGTGCTCAATGAGTTAAGGAAAATACACTTGTAATAGATGAAAAGATAGATAATCTCAGTGGAGAAATAGAATATGTTAAAAAGAATCAAATGAACATTTTAGAGTTCACTAACGAAGTGGGGTGGGAAGCCAGGGGACTGTGTTTAGTGGGCACCTGGAGTTGTCCTTTTTTCATTTTCTTTTTTGAGGTGGGAGATATTTGAACATATTTAAACGCTGATGGATTGGAGCCAGTGAAGAGGTAGCGTTGAAGATCAGGAGAGAAACGAAGTCCCCAGAGAAGCTGGGAGATGGTGCACAAGATGGCAGGACTGGTGGTGGTTTGAGAAGAAAACAAAACAAAATAAAAATCAGGAAACATAACCATCGATAGAGCCTTCTAATTATCTGAGTATATATCTCATTATACTTTTTGAGTATATTTGGGTGGTAAAATCTATTAACAAAACTGTTAGATCAAAGGAAAATATTAGAAGATTTAATGCCAAATTATGCTCCTTAAAACACTGAATTAATTAATTTTCCTCCCAACTGTGAAGGAGAGTACTTGTTTTCCTATATTATTACCCATAACATTAGCTATATGGGCATTATAAATAACTTTAATCTTTGCCAGTCTGACAAGTAATAAAGATATTATTTTTATTGTTAGTTTAATTAACGTTTCTTTGATGTTGCATGACATTGAATTTATTTCTCTGAATTTATTGACTACTTATATTTCTTTTTCTGTGAACGATTTGTTCATGTTTTTTGTTCATCTTTCTATTCTTGTGTTCTTACTGGTTTATATTAGCTTCTTATAAATTAAGGAAGTTATCCCTGTGTTGTGTTATAAATCTTATTTCATAGTTTATTGTTTACCTTTTGACTATACTTATAGTGTGTGTATATGTGTATGTGTGCATGCACACCTGTGTGTGCCTGAATGCCATATAGAAATTTTAAATTTTTACAGTCATCTTAATGAGTCTTTTCCTTTATGGCTTCTGGATTTTTATCTCCAGCTTAGAAAAGTTTTCTCTGTGTAACATGAATAAAAAAAATTCAGCTATATTTACTTGTAGTAATTTTCTGTTTAATTTTTCCCATTTATATTTCATATCCATCTATAGTTAAATTTAGAGTAAGAGGTCGGGGATTAAACTTTGTTTTCAAATGACTGGTCAGTTATTTAACACTATTACATAGTTCATCTTTTTCCAACCAATTTGAATTTCTGTATTTATCATATGTTAAATTCATATTATATGTGTGTGTGCATGTGTGTGTGTTTCTGTACTCTTCTCTGCCTACTTTGTTTT